AAACTCAAGAGGTCATCCTCTGGGTGGTCGTGGCAAACCATCTCAGAGAGACATTTGGGGCTCAGTGATACTAGAGAGGGATTCCACAGGATTCCCTGATGGACAAACTTGATTAGGTCTGCACTTACATATGTGAAAATCAAGAAAACATAATTCTAATTCCTTCCCTTTGCACAGGACTTCCTGGCTTATAAAGGGCTTTTTATAAGACAGTGAGGAATGACTAGGGCTCATTAAGACGATTGCTAGGTGGTTAAACTCAGGTTTCTAGGTCACTTGTGTCCACACATCTGACTGACTGGTAGTGCATCTCTCCAATTCTCTGTCAACAGAGACCCCAATGAGCCACTACCAGGAGGCCAAAGGGACCTTTTAGTGAGGCCTGGCTATGGGCCAAGCTTGTATTAAGCACTTTCCTTACACAATCTCTGAAGCCACTCAACAATCCTATGAAGTGGTTCCTATTATTTTCTTTCAGTGTTGCAAATACAAAGGCTCAGAGATGTTGAATTACTTGCCAAAGGTCATGAAATTCATAAATGCCTGAGCTGAGACAGAAAACCAGGCCTGTCTGACACCTGAAGCCTATATTAAGAATCTCTAGACTGGCTTAAGTCAAAGGTTTTAATAAAATTGTAGATATTTAATGTGCTAATTGGATAGCATGTCCTACAAAGGGTTTCCAATGTAGGCAGTGCTAACCTAACTGGGCTGGGGGTATGTGAGTGTTGAGGGAGGGGGGAACATATGAAAGATGATGAAAAAAAGAATGCTTTCCGGTGCTGCCATGATGCATTGTGTAACTTAAGAGGGCTATGTGTTTGTAACTGGCCTTTTCTGTGTACAGCACAAGCCTGGATTTGGTCAGCCTTTCAGAGAGTTCTTTGCTGCCACTTCTGCAGCCTGTGAACCCCCTTTCCATAAACCATAAATTAGATACTAAGTTCCATGACAGCAGAGATGACAATACATTTTCAGCACTGATATTGCTGAAACCCTAGGCCTATCCCAGTGGCCGACATGGTAGGTGCTTAAATATTTGTTCAGAATTGACAGTGATAATGATAGGAAATACTCAACAAGTCATAGCAATATATTCTTTCCAAGTATTATCTCATTTGATCATCAAAGAAACTCCATTAAGTAGTATTATTTTTCTTTCTAATTTATAGATTAAAAAAAAACATGGGTTGGGAAATCTTGTAACTTTGCTCAAGGACATAATAATAAATGTCAGAAAATCAGTTTTGCTTGATAGCAGAGCCTTGGCACTTCATATTATACTCTAGTCTGTTAATTTATAATGCACTGTTGTATTTCTAAGAAAGCTCATATTTCTAAAATCAGATGATAGAATTTCAGTTTTGTGAAAGAAAGGAACTCTGTTCTAACTGTATTGCAATACCTACAAAAATTCTTGTCATAGATTAAGTGCTCAGCAAGTATTTTCAGTGCCTATGCATACAGGAATGGGTAGGACAATTGTTTCCAATAGGGATAGGCATTACAATCTAGAGATTTACTCACTCACAACAGTTTCTTGTTGGGCAAGAATTTTAATAAAAGTATAGCTTTGAAACCTAAATATCACTGAACGAATTCAGTAATTTACTCATTCATTTACGAAATATTTATCTCCATTCGGTAAATATAATTGAGCATCTAGTAAGTGCTAGACACTTAATAGCAGAGATATAGTGGAATGGTTGACAATTATAAGTAAACAACTAGTACAAAATGCAAATGTTCCATGAAGAAGAAGAAACACATGTACAGGTAAAAAATTCCAAAGGAAAGGACCATGGGGAGGGCAGGAAATGCTTCAGTAAAGTAGGGACAGATCAGCTGCAATGCTGAAGAATGCCAGGAACACAAGGAAGGGATAGGAAATGAATGGCATGGGCAAATGCCAAAAGGTTTTAGAAAGAACTTGACATGTTGGAGGAACAGAAAGAAGGTCAGTGAGTCTTCTGAGAAATGGCCTGTGTAGTCCTCTTACAACCACAGGATTGCACAGGGCTTCCTTCACTCCCTGACCTCCTTTATTGCACATTGTTGTGTTATAGAACAAAGCCAACAGGTGTATTTTTCTTGGTTTTGGTTGGAGGGGCTAGTTCCCCACTGTCCATAGTAGAAAAGAATGGTTCACAAAATAGAAATCTTGGAGTCTACTTAATCTACTTAATGGATAGCCATCTAATTTGCCTTCCCACAACTTGTGTCTTAAGAAAAAAACTTGTCTATACTATTGGATAAAATAAATGCAAGAGGGATTTTGCAGAAAACAGGAAAGGAAAAATTTAGTAAACCCAGAGGTTTGATCTCTGGCAGGGACACTTTTGCCATTGGCTACAGTGGAAGATTTCTCAGGCACAGCCTGGCTAACAAACCTGGGCCTTCCTGATTGATCTTGTAACTCTGTTCCAATATAGCCCACCTCCTGGGAAGATATGGGAAAGAATAGCTTTGTGGTGACTCAGACAGTAAATAATTTACCTGCAATGTGGGAGACCTGGGTTCAGTCCTTTGGGCTATGAAGATCCCCTGGAGAAGGGAATGGCTATCCACTCCAGTATTCTTGCCTGAAGAATGCTATGAACTGAGGAGTCTGGCAGGCTACAGTCCATGTGGTCGCGGAGAGTCAGACACAACTGAGCGACTAACACTTTCACTTTTCATCTCAAATACTACTCCAAGGTCTCCAGTGGCAAGTGAGGGTCATTTTGACTCAAAGCAAGATGTCTTCTCACCACTTTAAGATGAATTTAGCTTTTCCCCTCTTCCCCCTCCCCCTACCCCCTTATGCCAATCTGCAAGAGAAGCTGGACTGTATAACTACAGATGAGCTGACCACTGGAGTCTTGGTGATGGATACGACTCATAACGTGGAAGAACCAGCCATGGCAACTGGCACTGGAGTGGATTACATCAATTTGTACATCAGTCTTCATCTCTTCCTGGAATTTCATATGTGAATTTGGCACACAGTCAAAGAAGTAGGGAAGACTTAATTACCAGATAAGAATTAAATGGCATCTTTTGTAAGCTGAATATTATATATCAAAGAATATTTCTCCTATCTTCTCCCAGAGATAAGTGGTTGGTTTCTGGAGATGAGGACCTTGCCATTTTCTACCTGCCAGAAGAATGTTTTCTTCATGGAAGTCTAATGGCAATTCCCAACCTCAGTTAAGGACTTGTTTTCCGGGGTTTTTTTTTTTTTTTTTTTGAACTTCAAATACCGTCTAAATTGTGTTAGCCGAAGCATTGTATGTATATAATTAACTCACAGATCCCTCTGGGCTCATCCAGCTAAACTTGTGGAGCTTAACTGAGCAAAACATTCGTTGATGTCTCTCCCCTGCAGTGACGCTCACTGAAATGAATACGAGGAAATCGGGGACATTTCTTGTCCAAATTGACTTTCTAGTGATTTGGGTTGCTTCAGAAATGATTGTTGTTTCATAACAGTCATGATCTCATTTTCTTTCAAATATGAAATCTGTGATTTGGCAATTCAGGAAAAATTGGGGGTGGGGCGGACTTCTGTATTTTCTTCCTAGCTGAAGTGGGAAGACAGGCCACTTTTTGGTATTCATTGGATCTTTGAAATTCCCCCTGGGAAACAGTGGCGCTCTGGGGGCACTGGGCTCCAATGTACCTTTCACCGGGAGAGCAAAAGTCAGAGGTTCCTGCAGTGCTATGTCTTAGCAAGCAAAACCCACCGGAGGGGCTGGAGCAGTTTGACCAAAACTGAGTGCAAAGGGTTAGGGAATATGGACTTTTTCAGAGCATGTTGACTAGATTCATAATTCGACCCTCTTCCTCCCTCTGCTAGTATAGACTTAGACACCCCCAGTTAAAAGATATTTTTGACTCTCTTTGAAAGGGAAAAGTCAGGTGTGATCCGCAGAAAAGTTCTGGCCTCCGATTCCCCATTTATTCCTAACCCAGAGAAGGGCTTAAGCTAGGCTCTGAGCATTCTCTCCTCTCTGGCTGAGGCTTCAAACCCCAGGCCTCACCCTTGACCTTCGTCCAGGGACGGTGTGCTAGATAGAAGGGTGAGCAAAAGAGGCCGGGATGTAGGCTTCCTGCTTGCTCAAGGGAACCTTCTCTTTGCTATCCAGGAGCACAGGTGTCTGAAGAAAGGCGGTGAGCTAGGGGACTCTGGGTGCTGGAGTAAACGCCGCCCTGAGCTGCGTGGCGCTGGGCGGGGAGGGAGGTCGGAAGAGCGCGTCTACGCTTTTCACGTCAACCTGCGGAGCTGGATGCTCGCTGCCCAGGTGCGGGTTGGCGGCTGCGTGCGCCCCACTGCAGCAGAGAGCAGCCGCAGCCTCTGCCTCGGCCACCGCCGCTGCTGGGGAAAGAGTCCTGGGGCTGCTGACGCGGTTGGGAGGAGCCTCGCCTTTAATGCACCAGCCGCCTCCAGCCTCCTGCAGCAGCAGCAGCAGCAGCAGCTGCGAGTGCGCGCGTGTGGGTGTGAGGGTGAGTGCGCTGGCGCCGGCCGCCGAGCGCCCTGCCCAGCTCCCCGCCGGCTGCCGAGCCCCCGCCAGCCCGAGCCGCCCTCCCGTGGGACCAGCACCCTCCTCCGGGCCGGGCCAGCCTGAACCCTGCCCCTGCCATCTCGCCACTGCAGCTCGGGTCCAGAAAGGCACCATTTTGTCGTGGCTGCCCGCTCTCCCAGGGGGGAGGAGGGATCTTTTTTGCATTTCGGAGCGGCTGCCAATGAGGGGAACCTGTTGGGCATCTCCCCAGCCCGGCTTGTGAGCGCCTCCTGGGGCGGCGGGCGGGACCAGACCCCTCGGGGCACGGCGCATCTTGGCACCCCAGAGGCGGAGGCGGCGGAGGCAGGCGCAGCATCCTCGCTGGGAATTGGAGCTGGAGTGAGCGCACCGCGGGAGGAGCCGCCGCAGCCTCGGAGATCCCGGGCGGAGGAGGTGACAGCTCCATTGCCGGGTTTTTATTTTTTTCTCTCTCCGCCTCCCCCGTCTCCTCCTCAGGCTCGGACCATGGTGCAGTCCCACTGGCTCCCCTGCCCCCCTCTCCTGTGAGACTGGCTGCGGGGAGGGAACATGGATACTTGTCTGCCGGCTTCTGGTTCCCACGCAAGTAAGCCTGCTGTCAATGGAGGAGGACATTGATACCCGCAAAATCAACAACAGTTTCCTGCGCGACCACAGCTATGCGACCGAAGGTAACGCCAGCCCCACCGCATTCCGCCGCTGGGGCCGGGCGCAAGTTGCGGATCGCTGAGCTCCGCGGGCGGCAGGGCGCGTAGCGGCGCAGACTCCTCCGGGCCCCGGGGCTGGGGCGGGGGCTCGGCCCGCAGGGGCAGCTGCCCGGGCGCCCCACATCCATCCGGGCTCGGCGAGGCGAGCTGGGTGTTCAGCATCAGGTGGACCCGGCGCCCACGGGAGTTAAAATGGCCCTCGGGGGTGAGGTTTTTCAGGGTGGGGCTCCCGGCTGGAAAAATGACTCCTGCCCCCAAAAGCAGATGACCCTCTCCGAATATATATGCAGGGGCCGGTGGAGTAGGGGATAGGTAAGAAAGAAGAGGGCCCAAGAGGACCCTGGGTCCTCCTCTCCCTGAGCGGAATGATGTGTCTCTCAGTGGCTGCAAGGGAGGGCATGGTTTCATTTCCTGCCCGTTAATCTCCCCGGCCGGGTTACCTGCTTAGACAATCAAAAGCCCAAAAGGCCCGTTCATAAAGGGCGAACCTCTCTCCCCTTGGAAGTGCATTAACAAGATATAAAAAGGTGGCTCGGGAAACCGTGTTGGGGCGGGCGAGTGAATGAGTCTGACACGTGGGGCGAGCAATGCGATCAGTGGGGCCTTTAAAAATCACCATTATGAATTCTGCAGCAGTAGTTTCTGCTGAATCAACAGCCAGCAGAAAGCAAGAGGGTTCAGTAAGCTGAGCTTTGCCAAGAGGTGAAATTGTCGTATCTCTCTCTCCCTCCCTTTCTCTCTCTCTCTCACCGTTTCCCCCAGCTTGTTCTGACATTAGCCTGAGTGAGGTACAGGCAGGAAAGGAAAGTCAGCAGGTGGAATCTCATTTGCCTTTTGTGTGGGAATAGAGAGTGGGGGCATTTTTTCCAAATACCAAAACTTTTGCATTTTTGCTTTCATTTTCTACCTGTCGGCCTTTATCCTTAAGCACTCCTGTACAGTGTTGCATCGTCACATTGTAATACCCACGTGAGAAAATGTGTGTGAAAGGGTTTTAGGAACATATAGCAAGGCATGTTCATTTCAGATGATTCCTACTATTGGATGCTAAAATTTCTGTCACATTTAATCACATCAAGACTATTAGAGAAATGTGAATGGGGGTGGTAAAGAGTTCAAATTCTGAAAAGAAAAAGACAAACAGTTTAGGGGTAAAGGTGGCATCTTCTATAAACATCCCTGAAAGTTTCAGATAGAATGCTCAGCGCTTTGAAAATATGTGCTTTATTCATCATCATTACTGGAGAGCATCACGCCTAATATGTCCATGATTCTAGACAAATCAAGCAGAGCTGTGTGAGCTCTGGCCTTCAAGAGCTTAGAGGTGGCTTTTAAGATGTTTAGCTTGTCCCTGCCCCACATCAAGCACCATGCTTACCGAGTCTTTTTACTTGCCTGGTGACAACATGATTGTTCGATGGTCTTCCCTGGTCTTAGTGCTTTGTCACTGACTCACCAGCTAGCATATGATCAGCTCTGGGTCTGAGCATAGCGTCCAAAGAGAAGTTGGCTTTGGGTCCATTGTCTTTGGGGGCACACTTGTGTGTGTGTTTGTGACAACAAAGACAGAGGGTTGCCTTGACATTTTCTTCTGTATTGCCTTATGCCTCCAAGTGCAGGCAAAAGAAACTTACTGAGCTAGGAAGATGGAAAAATTGAGGTCATGTGTGTAGGAGTATCATCTGTAAAATGAAGAAATGAGTTAAACATGGCATTCCTCATTGCTTTCAGGGCCTTAGATAGACCTAATCTTTGTTCCTCTCTGATGCCATTTTGGAAGACTCTGATTGCGGATAAAATATTTGGGTTTATATAGCCCGAAATGAGGTAGAGTTTATAGCAAAGAATTTTCTAAAATCTTTCCAAATTAGCCTCCTTGGATCACTCTCCCCACCCCAACTCCAGTGCCACTACATTCAAAACTAAACAAACCTTTATTTCACAGTACATTTTCAAGGTTTTTTGTTTTTTTTTAACCTGAGCTTAGTGAAAGTCTGGGAAGAAAAAAATGGTACTTAAACAATGTAAGTTGTCTTACGTGCAATTCCCAATTGCATTTTATTCATCAAAAGAGCATCCTTCCTCTTCTGATAAATACCTCAAAAGTGCTAGTACACCTTGAAGGAACACTGCTAGATCAAAATATTCATTGTTAAAATCCTCTGCATTTGGGGACTTGCCCCAAAGTTCTCTTCCTCTTTTTTAACTGAAACCCACCTTCTGGGAAATTAGTTTCTAGGTCCTTCTACAGACTTTGCTTTTCCTTTTGTCTTTTTTTGATATTTCTGCATTTTCCTGTCTTGCCCAGATATGTCAGCTTTATTTTTTACTGCAAAATTTCCTTTGCATTTATGTCTGAATTTTTCTTCCCTTTGCTTGGATCATTCCACACTGCAGTATTCTATTTAAAGCTGAAAGGTTTTTGCTGTGTAGTTAGTGTGAAGGACTCCAAGCTCAATTTGCATTATAAGTGGTAGCTGCAGGCAAGTTCATCCAGCTAAGAGCAATGCAAATACTAAAGGACACTTTTCCCAAGCTTTTCTGTCTTTCTCTCTCTCTCTGTGGGAAAAGAATGCGTGATGTGTATTTATTTAAAACATTTCTTACAACTTTTCTTTTGTTCTGAGTATGAGGTTACCATCTTCATCTCCCTTTTCCTTTTTCTCCCTTTTTAGAAGTTGCTATCTTTGAGCGTCTCTCTTTTCCAAGCACTGTACGCATTGAGCTTTTTGTAAGTAGTGTTTCAATATGTCCATACCCGGTTAAGTGGATCTTGTGATTTCCATTTTTAATAAGAATACTGAGCAACTGAGGCCCAGAGATGACACTAATTAGTCAAGGTCACACAGGCAGGGTAAAATTTGTCTTCCGACTCAAGACTGTCTGATGTGCTCTTCTATTAGGAAATTCTGCACAGCTTCATTTTTCTTTAACTATTAGCTCCTGTTATGAGGAAGATCACAGGATCACAGGTTTATCTCTGTGTGTAAATAGTGTTCCCATCTGAGGGAAAATTCTTTGCAGGGATCATTTGAAAATGTGCCTATAGGGTTACACATGAGGAAAAGCATCAGTAGGGTTGGCTTTCTATCTTTTTGACTTGTTAGAACCAACTAAAACTCCCTCTCCAATAGCACAATCAGAGTTTTCTAGATTAATACTTATGTTCTCATGGGGCAGAATAAATATTGTACCTAGGAGGAGTTCACGGGAATGGCAATCTGGTTAGAAGGAGAAGTCAGATAATTTGTTGTTTAAAAATAACTATTCTTTTCTCAATTTCCTTAGCCATAAAATGGGAATAACAGCAGAACCGACGCCACAGGGGGAAAAAGATCTATAGTCCGTGGGGTCACAAAGAGTTGGGCTCGACTGAGAGACTTTCATTTTCAATGCAGGAAAAACACTCAAGAAAATGCCTAATACAAAGCCAGACCTTGATAGGTGCTCTCAGTAATTACAGCTGTTGTTATTATTACTTAAACTGCATTTGCATTGCAAGCACAATGTTTTTCCTTGCATTGTTGTTGATTTGGAGTGATCTTGAGGGAAGAGCTAGTGGAAATAGGAGATATGTCCCTAAAACCCACCACAGTCTCTTCTTGACTTCTCCACTAGCTGTGGATAGCCTCTAGGCAATTTGCCTTAATGTATTGGGTTGGCTGAAAAGTTCATTCAGGTTTTTCCATAATATGTTACAGAAATAACTTGTTGGTTATATTCTGGCAGCAAGTTCCGTTTTCCCCTTAGAGGCCTTTAAAAACCCATACTGCTTGTACATATTTTTAAAAGAAGAGCAAATTCACTTAGTCTATGTATAGTTATTATATTAATATGATATCATTATTATTATGTAACTGTTGATGCTTTCTGACTTTAATTCCTTCAACAACTATTAACTGACTTTCTGCAGAAGTGATCCTGTACACTCCAGTACACTGTGTCTGTTCTCATGGAGTTTGAAATCTGGTGGAAGAGGTAGACATTAAACAAACAATTTTCCAAAGAATTATGTAGCTTCCAATTGTGACAAGTGATATTCAGGAAAAGCCTTGAGATGATTTGTAAAGCAGAAAGGTAAATCTAATTTAGATTGAGGCTCAGGGACTGCTTCACACAAAGTGTAAGCTGAAAAGCAAGGGATAAGTCAGGAATGAACAGGAGCTGAAGACATTTCAAGTAGAAGGGACAGTAGGTCCAAAGTGCAGAGATATAAAATAGTCTGACAGATTCAAGGAATGAGAAAATGCCTAGGGCTGAGTGTAGGGAACAAGAGGAAGAGGGGTGACAATGAGACTGAAGCCTGTAGTTTACTTTGGAATGGACCAAACCAAGAAAGATTAGTACTAGGGGAGAGGAATGGATAAATAGACAAGCAGATGATAGAACAAATATAAAATGTTAATGGTAGAATCCAGGCGATCAGTCAGTGGATATTCACTGTAATTTTTTTTTCAACTTTGCTATCTGTTCAAAAATATTCATAATGTTGCAGAAAAGAAACTGGAGAGGTATTTAGGGATTGGGTCACGTTGAACCTTGTTGACCATAAGGAGTTTGGACCTTATCCAATGATGGATCGAAAACCATTAAAGGATTTTGATCAGGGGGGAAATATGATCAGGTTAGTTTTTTCAAAGCTCAGGCTTGCTGCTGTGTAGGGTGGGGCCAGAGGGCTTGCTAGGAAGTGAACAGGAGAGAAAGCAGGGAGATAAGTAGGAGGCCGTAGCTGTTCTGTAGGATGGTGGCGAGTAGAGATGGAGACAATTCTGTAGATTTGAGATACATTGTAGGAAAAGAAAGGATCAGGCTGACTTGGTGTGATAGACTAAGTGGAGATGGAGAAATGATGGAGATGGCATCAAGGAAGACTTGCCATGAGGATAGATGCATGATGGGGCTGTTCACTGAAACTGGAAAAAAGACTTTGGAAATTGATGAGGTTTGTGAGTCATCTAGCCTCA